GGGTACATTGATTGTGGCGTGGTCTGAGATGCATTTCCATGACGTTGCAAATTCCTTTTTAATAATGAATGAGACGAGCCTCGACAAACAAAAAGTGCACAAGCTACGGGGCCCTCTAAATGTATATATTAAAATACTTAGAATTCGAGGACAGGTTGTTTAGCGAATTTTACGGCCTTCCCCAAAATAACAAGACGCTAGTTGCTTTAGGCGCGCCTTTAATAATTTATTTTCCTTAACTCGGGTGTACATTTATGTGACCCAAATCCAAATTTCAACAGAGTTGAAATGTAGCTCTAACCACGGGTACATTGATTGTGACGTGATTCGAGGTATGTTTTCCACTATGTTGCAATTCTTGATAAAAATAACGGTAAATGATAAAAGCGGTAAAAAGATAAAATCGGCACATAAGTTCACATTTGTGTAAAATCAGATAACCAAGCCGAATATAACAGTTGAGCGACCGTGCTAGATCCACGGAACCCGGGAATGCCTAACACCTTCTCCCGAGTTAACAGAATTCCTTATCCGGATTTCTGGTACGCAGACTGTAGTATGGAGTCATTTTTTCCTCGATTCGGGATTAAAATTGGTGACTTGGGACACCCTAAATCTCCCAAGTGGCGACTTGTAATGTTGAGTTTTCTATTTTTGAAAAATGATAAAAAGAGTCACAAATAAGTCAGGGTGATGCTGTTTTTGACAAAAATAGCCGAATGTTCCCGAAAGGGACGCCGGAAGGCTGACTTCGCATAAAACAACCGACTTTTGGGTCATGTTTAGGATTTTGGTCCACTTGACCCACATAGCCTTAAAATCTTCGTCCCCGAGGCGCTGAAGAGCCGTGTTTGCAACACCACGTTTTCATTGTAATTTGAAAAAAAAACAAAGAGTCAGCGGTTAGGTGAATACCGTTTGAATTTTTAGTCGAAAATAAGTCGAGCCAGCTTTGGCCGCGTCTTAAATTGTTCTTGCCGAAATAGCCTTAGAGTATCTTTCAGTTGTCGAAAGGCTATTTTCGTAAAAGAACGGACAAGTTTGTAAAGTGTCATAAAATAATCCTCCCCGGCCCCAAAATTCATGTGAAATTTGGAAGGGGCCACATTTGCAAAAATAACCGTTTGGTTGCATTTGTCGAACAGAGAAAGGGAGTTAGCCTTTTGTTTTTGAGTTTATAAATCACTTGATTAGAATATGTGCAAAGAGTCATAATCTACAGCAAGCTTTCCATACCATTTTTCAAATGGTGTCTTGCCA